AAACTAAGCTAAATGTGCACATTTGCTTCTCAGAGAATCTCTTTTCCTTGATGTAAATGGAAACAGCGCATTCTTAGTATAATGCGGTTATAATATAGTAGAACAGATACGAGTATGAAAGTAAAGAGAGAAAATGTCACTGAGCACCTGTTAGAATATGATGTATACCATAATGCAACAGATATCAAAATAAAGTTGCTTTATAACATGTAGAGAGAAAACCCAATTTTTTTTTTGAAAGTAAAAAAAAATAATAGGGGGTGTATGCATATCTATTTCTATTCCTAAACTTACAGTGGGGTTTTGAAGTTTTTCGTCATGCTATAAGCCTGCATATTTAACTGTCGATAGAAAATGAATGATACTTTCTGGAGTATTTTTGTTAGTAGTAAAAAATCAATCGCGGATTTACATTTAGTCTCCTTTTAATTCTACAACTTTTTTGAAGTCGTATTTGCCTTCGTTTCCAATCCGGATAGCTCTTATTCAAATCTAATGATCTAATTCTACCCTGAAATAAGAAATTGATGTTAATTAAATACCAGAAGAGAAAAAGGTCTAAAATATATATATATATATATATATATATATATATATATATATATATATATATATATATATATATGTATATATATATATATATATATAGTAAGAAACTGTGTCATTTACGGGGAAAATTTTTATATAAAACCTTTCTTGTAGGATGTATTTTAGGCACGGGGTGTATATAATGCCCCGTATATTTAGCACCACTAACCTCCGCTAAATCACCATCTCGATAAACCTCGACCACTTTGCACAGCACGGTTTTAAATCGAAATTTTTATAGTTCTTTACGAGTTACATCGTCGCCCGCGTGGCGCAGTGGTTAGAGCGTCTGCTCTACAGTCGCGGAGTAAGGAGTTGATCCTTACGTCGCGGGTTCGAATCCCACTGTGGGACGTGGAGACCGGTCCTTCGGATGAGACCGTATAAACCGAGGTCCCGTGTCGCAGTAGGTGCTGGCACGAAAAAGATCCCTCACTGCTCAATGGCCGTAAGTGCCGAGTATAGGACAAAATTTGCAGCTCTCCACTGGCAAGTGGCGGCGTCTCCATATGAGTGAAAAATTCTCGAGAGGGACGTTAAACAACAAACAAACAAAAAACGAGTTACATCCCTTTGACTATGATGAGTCCAAAGACGTCTTGATCATTCAAACTCTTAGGTTATTGAGAGACGTATAATAGATGTATCAAGCGTTTAACTAACAAAGATTCACAAATAGCGGGGAAGCGCAATCAACAACTTGAACAAGCATAATAAGGGGTTCGCTATAAGGTATGTTTAAATTTTATTTGTTTGTAAATTCTTTACAATTTTCCATGTGATGCTTTGCGGAGTGTTTGTTTGAAGAGCAACGCCAGTAACAGACGAGTAATGCTGACGAATAGATACATTTTATCCTACCTGGAACAGCTGTAGAAGGGTTCACGACGTTACGGGGCCTACAATCAGGTCTAGTTAGGGTTGGGAAAAAATATCGTCGTATACCATAAATTCGTCCGTACCCTGCTAAAATCGTCCTCAAACTTCATGCAACCCGCACCTTTCCAACTATGTATAGATGACGTCATTTTTAATTGTTATGACTGGTAAACACAATTATTTTTTAGAATATGCAGAATAAACTCGTAGTAAAATTAAAGAAAATAAAAATCCTTAAACTATCTGTTCTTTTCCTTAGGTCCATTTTTATTGAAAGTGTACACGACAGTTTCGTTCCCAAAAATTACTTCCAGATCAAGTTTACCTTCATTTTATTATTTTATACCTGTCAACCAACTGTATTGAATTATGTGCATGGGCTTTTAATTTAAGAATTTGAAAACAAAAATTTAATGCTCCCATATAAGGATCTTATATACTTTCCATCTAGATGTTGACGTTACCCGTGTTTGGTTGACGTACTATGGGGCCATGCGGGTATCCATAATTATTTCGGGGAAAAATCTAAGTCATCACTGCAAATGATAGACACTCCAAAAATCAAAAATGTTATCAGACACTATGACTTATAACTGTGAATGCTTCCAACAATAGAAATTCTGTTAGTCCTACAAATTAAAACATTTTAAACAATGATGGTGGGTTTTTTTTTTCTTTTTTATAAGTTGTATAGATTTTTCCCTCCAGGAATATTTCTTGTACATAAGAATTTATCGTAACCCACCCACCCCCTTAAAAAACAATCTTTCAACATGCCCAAGCAATGATGATCACATTGTTTGAATAGATTAGATCTACTTTTGACCTGGTTCAGTGGCCAGTCCAGATCAATACCCCCCTCCCCCCCCCCCCAAAAAAAAAGTTGAATAATACCCAAGAAATTAAGGAGAGAATATTTCATTTTTATAAACCAAGAATTTATTTTATTAAACAGTCGTTTTACTTAGTTGACTAAAGAAGATGTATATTTGTCAATTTTTACCAGTTTCACAGGTGTCATGTGGGTACATACCTCTAATTATTTTTATAGTCAGTAGGAGAAGAAAGTAGTGCAGAAAAAATTACAAGTTCCTTAATTTGCAGACCTGAATAAAAAAAACTGTGATAATGTACTAAACTGAGCCTCATACTTGTTGATAAGGAGAATGTTTCCTTACAAAAAATCTTGGCAGATGTAATTTATCAAGAAGATCAGCAGATTTATTTGATGTATTATAACACCAGTGAGAAGTCTTGAATTCCCCTACTTTCATTTTCAGAAGTTAACGCAGACAGACGCATTTTGCCGGAAAATGAATCTGACATGCCACCTGGAGATTTAAACCAAGGAAAGATAACTCGATGTGCTTTGATTTGAGGGGTCACTCAATGCTGAACGAAAATTAGGGACGTTGCTATGTGAAGAAACGTTAACATTGCCGCCTGTGGGAAAACAATTAGTGGGCTGTACCCATGTGCATTGATGCATAACTAAACTAGCGACGTTTACTGGGTATGAAATTCACAACGTACGGATAACCAAGTAAAACAAGATCTTTACTGTCACTCTTCAATTAATTTCTCATCTAGTGCAGAGTAGATAAAAGGGTATTTTTTTCCTGTAACATGAATATTTCACACATTATAATTAGGCGATCAATTCAAGTCTACATCCTAACCCCAACAATTGAATTAAAGTTTTCTGGGTTTTTTTTCCATATTGAGTCGGTCAGACTTGCAATGTTTAAATATTTTGATTTTCTGTCGGTGTTTGCCAGAAAGGCCAATGAATTTTGAAAATCTGAAACATAACATTGTATAATTTGCATATCTGATAACCCTTAAAAATTTTCACCTTAAGGTAGAGACCGATAGCAATCACGTGATTGATAGAATTCGCATATTAGCACGTGCTGTTTTTCCGGATTCCGCAACGCCGCCAAATAATAGTCCTCATTTACACATTATTGTCTATGCTACAAGATGGCCGACAAAGCAGTCGAGAAAATTTCCTCGTTTAAAAGACAAAGTTTCCATACATATTAAATCTTCACGGTCCTCAAAATTGAAGCACCTTAATAAAAATCGAAATGGAAGTGAGATTGAAACCGACTATGAACATAATTATGGTGAAACTACTCCTTGTCCACTGCAGCACCACGTGGGTCCCGGTACGTGTTTCTGTGCCTGATATGTTTAATACAGACATTAAAGACCATAACCCTGCAGATGTTAATTGGTATGATGGAAGAAGTAAATTTTTTGCAGAACAAATTATTTGTTTGCAGTGTCCGTTTCAGATACATCAGGTGAATATTTACGGCTATGGTGCATGTTTGTTTAACGTACAGGTCTGGTACAATCTGACACTAGATTTATCTACGTAGCTTGAATTACCTACATAGGTTTATTTACCTACCTAAAGTAGTTTTATTTAGCTACAAAGTCAAACTTATTTTATGACCAGATTATTACTTCTTGAATGAAATAACAAGACCAGATATTTCTGGTGAACATGATAAAGGCTGGATTGGTAATTATTTAGCACAATGTGAAGTAATCATACTTTTCTGTGCCTAAATGCACACGAGGTTGTGTAAAGTTACTCAAACAATATAAATCCATATTTTGCTTAAAGCGTTCAAATGCAGAAATGTGTAAACTTTCTCTGCTTTAGATCGCTTTTTAAATATTAATCTCTTGTATAAATAATAGTGGACATTAACTTGCAATTCTAGATCTTTTGTCTTTTTGAAATAAAAAACAAATTTGTAAAGAGTTGCATTGAAATAGCTAAATAAAGCTACCTGAAGTAGCTAAATAAAGTTACAGTAGCCGCCTGTAGGTAATTCTACCTATGCAGCTAATTTATGTACTGATTGTACTGGACCTGTTTAATACTTAACATTGCATATTAAGTATTTTACTTGTTAACTTATGATCCATATACATAGATGATGAATTACAGTTTCAATGGTGCTGTATTCAAATTTTTTTGTAAATAATTATGCAAGTTTATGTAATATTTATGCACATGTAATAAATTTATGTAACTATGTATTTGTTGTATGCTCAAAAGAGCCCTGATTATAAACAGATTTCATAAATACTAAAAGAAATATTAAATACAACAGGTGAAGCAAGATATGGACTAGGCTAAGGCAGTGTATTCAGCATTCTCTACAGAAATAATGTGGCATTCAAATCAAGTGTCATCTGGAAAGAGGAATATCAAGGGTTCTTTTGACATTAACTCCAAAGTAGCCATTGGTTTGTATTTAAAGCTTAATTTGTTTCCTCTCTTATTTTTTCCTTTCAATTTACACTTGCACATGTATCAGGGAAAATCCAGAAATTTTTCTGATAAGGAGGGGGGGGGGTAAAAAGGAGGTGTTTTATATTATTATAATTCTATTAAATTTCAAATTTTTAGTCCTTATATTTTTAAGTTACACACCATAATGTACAAACTATTGTATACAGTCATGTAGAAGCATTTTCTCAAGTCAATAATTTTTCAAAGTTCATATACATATTTCAGGAAAATTCAAGACAGATCTGCTACAGTAACTGTACATAAAGTAGCATACATGTGTGACAGGAAAGGAGGAAAATGTATGGCTGGACTGAGAATCTAACCTGGGACCCCTGCATCACTAGCCAGGTGTTCTATTGACTTAAATACATGTACCGGTAAATGCTTGTGTGTAGACATACAAAAAAAACATTGTAAATTGAATTAAAAACTGAATAACTAAAAATTATAAAATGTAAAGATGTTTTCTAATTTGAATGTGATTGTTTCAACTAAAACACCAAAGAATTGGTATGATAATCTGAAGAGGTCAGTATTGTTAAAAAACTTATAAGAGACATGGTTTTTTAACAATACATGTACTGACTTCTTCACATTATCATATCTAAATTTACAAAAATTAAATTTACGAATTAAATCAGAATTGTTAATAAATTCTACAATATCTTTTAAATACATGTAGATCAAGTTATCTACTTTATTTTTATCCTCTTTTCTTCATGTTACAGATCTTATGGACATACATGATCCTTGGCTAATCAAGTGTCATCTGCAGTGTTACAAAAGAATATTGGAATTATGTCAATAAGGTAATTAGGAACAAAACTGGATTAAAAACCATGGAATAAGAATGATGTAAAAAATGTATTTTAATTCTACATATAATAGTTACTGTACGTGTACATAAATTGGCGTATTTAAAATTTTGCGCAATTACTGGGTGTGGAATTGTTGGCAAAATCATGAATTCGCGCTATATATGTCCCTGCTGTATATTGTATTTATAAATGATTTCTTAGCAGTATTCATGAATTAGCGCATTGTTGTCTGCACCAAAGCCACTAAAATATGAAGCCTGCTTTTTTAAGTACACATACAGTATGTTGCTAGTTGCTATATGTATTGTTTCGCATTGAAAATGTGTCATGGACAGGTACATGTATTTTTTTCCCACAAAAACTTTATCCTTTGGCCTTAACTCTTGAACAATTAGTGCTGGGTCTTTGTATTTCACATGTTTATTTCTTTTTTTAACCCCATGATCTTCGCCTTAGAGTGTGACCTACATTGAGAAATTAAAATATTTAATCTTTATCTATATATACCAAGTTTTTTTTATTTAGACACTTCATTGATCCAAACAATTTCCGACTATACATGTATTTGATTAAACGATTCATGACAATTTGATGAATACATATATAAAAAATGTATTGCTACAGTATAATCTGACAGAAATGTTTTATATTCATAATACAAACATAGTCATACCATGTTTGCAGTGTAAGAAAGAAGTAATACATGAATTTTAGTTCTTTAAATATTAAAATAATTTATTCATTTCAGAAAAAGAACTATCAGAAGGATACAGTAAAGAGGAACAGACGTATCCAACCCATTAGATATGTGCTTCAAAATCTGAATATACAGAATGAATTCCGCTCATTGGAGCTCCTTCTGAAAATAACACCTTTGTTGTATTGACATAGAATCAACAGAATTGTCTGGTTCCTTAAACATGACACAACTAGCTGCATATGATGGCAATTAAAGATTCATACATGTTTACATTGATCTTCGTCAGCCAATAAGCCAAAAAGCTACAGCTAGCAAAATAACAAGTTTATCTTATTTTCCAAATGAATCTTAATAGTAATACATGTACATGTAGCATCAACATTCATCAAGCATTGTTATATTTCTTAGATTTTCTTAAATCAAACCATCCTTTTCTAGTTGCAGGTCATAATGTTGTATCAAATGACATTCCGATTTTCTTGAAATTACTTGAGGAGTTTGGACATCAAGAAAAACTTAGATATTATTGAATGTATTCACTTTATTTTGTTGAACTACATCCTGAGTTTAAAAGTTGTACACCATCATATACAGTTTATGGTTGGATTCCTCTAACTTTTATGAACCTGTGTGTAAAATCTATACTTTAAAGTTACAAATTATTACCTTTAATAGATTATTTGTTCTTATGTAAATTATTACACTATTTTTGTATGTATGTAATGATAACCGAATCACTCTATTTCCCCGCACTTTTTACCATTTGATGCTTTAGTGTATTAATATCTGACTACTGATGACCAGGCAGTCTTCATTAAACAGTGAAACACATAACTCATGCTTTTATTTGAATATCTTTAAAACAAGAATAACATACTGTGGATTGATTCTGTTTACAAAACTTCATAATCACTGGGTTTTCTTATACATGTATTTGGAATGAAAAAGGAATTGTTGAAGGAAAGTGAAATTAATACTAATGTTGTCAAAGGGAGATTAAAAGACCAGTTTATTTGTGCACAGAATTGGTCAAAAGATATTGTCATTGATAATTCATCCAAGAATCATATGTATAATAAATCTATCAAAGTCGATTTTAACGATATAAAGGAATTTCAAAGTTCATATCTTTTTGAATGTAAGTGCAAAAAGGTCAACCAGGGCAACATGTGTCTAGCTATAGGATGTACATGTATAAATATTTGCTTTTGTGATATAAAATGTAATTTAGAAGAATATTACAAAGAATTTACTCATTTTCTGTGAAATATTTTGATGAATTCTTTGATAATCTCTCTTAGTCACCATATTCTTCAAAAGTGCATCCTTTGTAAAGGAAGGGGGTAGGGTAAGGTGTAAGATAATAAACTTGTGACAGGTTGAAATTAAACCCCATTATGTAGTATGATTTTTTCCTGAAATTTAAGATACTTATTGACTAACTATAATATGCAATAAAAAAAGAAATTTGATGGGTAATTTTTTCACAGTGGAAGCAGAAGTGTGAGTCTTTGAGCAATGAATAGGCAATATTTTAACGTAATTTGACCATGCATCTTGGTGAATGTAATTCTGTTTTTCACTTACAATGCTTGATAATTTTAAGATTGATGTCAAATATTAATTCATATAGACAGATGTTTGAATTCATATAAGACAAATAATAATTGATATATCAATAAAAATTTTATAGCCCTTTTCATATCTTCTTCTTATATTATTTTACCCTGCTTTTTCAGCTCTTCAGTGGGTGCTGAAGGCTATATCAAAATTATCAAATTTCTCTTAAACTAGCCCGATTACCTGACTTGAATTTTTAATAAGATTTAGAACAAAGACTCAACACAAACATATATAAAATTCAGAAAATTTCAATGGTTAGTTTTTTTGTTGACAACCTGTCAATCTCTACCTTAATCAGTTGAGTAGTTCATTTATTTGTAAATCTAAATAAACAAATTGCAGATTGTCATGTCTCACAAATATGACAGATGGTTGCAATGTATTATTATTAACTGTACAATGTCAAAGTAATTTTAAAAAATATAATCATGAGTATTTTGATGTTTTATTAGGCTGTACTGGCTTAGCCTATCATTCATTTAATATTTGGTTATTAAATTTCAATTAAATTTTGACTGACAATGTTAACAAATTTTAAACAGATCCATAAAATACTATTTAAGTGACTTGGTACCTTTTTTGTAGTTTTAATGATTTCCTGGTAAAAGATGTTTCTAAATACTCTTATGTAATATTTTGGTATGAAATGCTCTAAGGCTAGCAGCATATAAGTCATGATTTTATACTGAAAATTCTAGAAAATATGAACCTGTGTCCATGCAAGCCCCATAAATTTTGACAAGGGGAAAGACGAATATTAATTGGTCTTGTAGGATATGCAAAATATTGATTCCATTCATTATTCATCCATTCAGTCTTGTATATTAAGTTGTGGGGTCTTGTATAATTCATAAATTGTATCAAGTTGTTAAGTTCGCAGCTCTGTTAAGGCTGCATAAAGGGGGCGGGGCCTAATTTATACGGGAAAAGTTTACTGTGACATCACACAAATATAGCAATTCCTCACAATAACAGAAAATGAAATAATTTGCGAATCTAAACTGCATACGAGTCATGAACTACATCAAAACTTACCACTGCATTCATTTTTGTCGCTAGCTAAATCCCACACAGCAAGATATAAACGAGTCACTGATCGCAATGCACTTGTCGACATGACGTCATCATGGTAAAGTTTGACGCATTTTATGTGCAATGAGAAGCGGATCAAGTAATTTTTTCACAGTGAAAAATGTATTTTATTATTAAACAGAATATTATTTGAAAATCTTAGGTAGACCATTAATACAAATCTGAAACATTTGTTTAGTGTCATTATTTGAAAACTATCGAGAGAATGTATTGAATTAATTCTACCGTGTTTTTTGTCTACAGGGTGTGCATGTTTCACGCCGAGGTGCCTCATTAAATCGCCTTTTCGCAAGGGCATACACTTCATAGATCTTGACCACTTTTTGAATACATATAATGGACATATTCCTTAACTTGAAAAGTGCTGCTGCTTTCCTGAAATCGATAGCATAACTTAATAAATACATAAAATACTTTGTGAAGGTCACACATATTTCGACATTAGCAAGATAACATGAAATTTAAACTAATAAAATGCGAATTCTATTTAAAGCAGCAGCACTTTCCATAAACTACAAGTTATGTAGAAACAATCTATTACTTTGATTTTTAATTTTAACTAGGGTATGCCCTTGCGATATTGAAATTTGTTTGTGACCTACATACAGTACACATTACATGCATTTATCACGTGACTACCAAATAACGTGACCAAACCAAATTCAGTACAGAGCGAGGTATACCTTGTTATTTCAAAGAATGTTAAAGTCATAAGATAATATAGTACCTTTACAAAATTAAATTCATTTTAAAAAGGTATGTATTTATACACGTTTATATTCTGTTGATTTCTTCGAAGTACGCCTTAACAGTGCTGCGTTGTGAAGTCTTGTGTATAAATTTGTGGGGGTCTTGTGTATATATATAAAGTTGCGGGGTCTTGTATATATATATATGAAGTTGTGGGGTCTTGTATAATTCATAAATTGTATCAAGTTGTTAAGTTGTGAAGTCTTGCATATAAAGTTGTGAGGTCTTGTGTTTATATATAAAGTTGTGGGGACTTGTATATATATATATATATATATATATATATATATATATATATATATATATATATATATATATGAAGTTGTGGGGTCTTGCATAATTCATAAATTGTATTAAGTTGTTAAGTTGTGAAGTCTTGTATATAAAGTTGTGAGGTCTTGTGAATATACATAAAGTTGTGAGGTCTTGTATATATATATATATATATATATATATATATATATATATATATATATATGAAGTTGTGGGGTCTTGTATAATTCATAAATTGTATTAATTTCTTAAGTTGTGAAGTCTTGTATATAAAGTTGTGGGGTTTTGTGTATATATAAAGTTGTGGGGTCTTGTATATATATATATGAAGTTGTGGGGTCTTGTATAATTCATAAATTGCATTAAGTTGTGAAGTTGTATATAAAATTGTGGGGTCTTGTGTATATATATAAATTTGTGGGGTCTTGTGTATGTATATTAAGTTGTGGGGTCTTGTATATATATATATATATATATATATATATATATATATATATATATATATATATATGAAGTTGTGGGGTCTTGTATAATTGTATTAAGTTGTGAAGTCTTGTATATAAAGTTGTAGTGGGGTCTTGTGTATTTATATAAATTTGTGGGGTCTTGTGTATATATATAAAGTTGTTTGGTCTTGTATATATATATATATGAAGTTGTAGGGTCTTGTTTAATTGTATTAAGTTTTTAAGTTGTAAAGTCTTGTATATAAAGTTGTGAGGTCTTATGTATATAAATAAAGTTGCGGGGCCTTGTATAATTGTATTAAGTTGTTAAGATGTGAGGTCTCGTGTCTTAAGTTGTGGAGTCTTATGTATTAAGTTGTGAGGTTTCAAGTCATGTGACTTTTTTTATCCAATGAGATTTCAAACTTTTCAAACAAATGGAGGACTCCTAAATGAAGTCTGTTGGATTTGTTTTATCTAAAAAATATTGTGTGTATGATGAAATAAATGCCTTCTGTTTCCAAAAAAGGATTGAATATGGACCAGTTCATGATGAATATGATGGGGTTGTTAGAATATACGTTTTTTCTTTCAAAGAAGCTTTGCAAGTCATTAAGTTTTTAAGAAGAAGAAACTTGGATGCAGTTTTTGTAAATTTTGTTCAATAATTAAATTGCCATGACATATCAAATCAAAATTGATTTATAGGAAGGTATGAGGTGAGTCAAAATTTCATACTCACTCATTTTATTTTACCGCTAATGTCATAACAGTCTAGTGTATAATGATTATAGCAGATTATTTCAAAGAAGATAATTTTACATTAAATTCAAGATCAAAGACCTATTTTTGTCTTGTCTACAAGTGTAAATTTGTCTGATGATGCCTTCAACCAGGAATGTCCATGAAAGAGTCAAATTTGGAAATTGTAGTTACATAATTATCGGCCGCAGCAGCGGTTGTGTTAGAATGTGCACATTGTGAAATGAGACGTTATTTTTTATTGCTTCGTTGGAAAAATTCCTCATTGATAACAAACATAAAAGTTACGAATAAAAGCCTTTAAAAATGCTTAAAATTAAGTCTAAATATTTTGTTATTATGTTCAAATTT